GATAAGCAAACCTGAGAGGAAGTCCTGAATGTTAACACTGGGGATGGGGATGGTATGGTGCTTTTTCTATGAGCAAATCTGATTGCATTTCAATGACACAGAAGACAGAATACTTTTATTTTATTCACTCATTCTATTGCTCCCACAATAAGCTGTATAAGCTCAGTAAAAAGTTTCTGAGATGTGGAAAAATTTGATAACAAGGTGTACTAAGGAGCAATGGACATATTTTGTGGTTTGCTATTGCTTGATATTTAGGTGGCCAGGGTTCTTAAGAGTGCTTTCAGATCCTACAGATCCATATTCTGCTAGGTTCTGATTTTAGTGGAGTTGATGGTACTGCCATCAGTGCCTTGCAGTGCAGCAAGAAGTTTTTCTGGAATGAAGCACATGGTCCCTGCTCAGAGAACATTCAACTTCTTTCCCGACCACTGACATCAGCTGATAGGACATTGCTGGTGCTTGTCTCACTTGGTCTGATTTTATGATCTAGGACCAACACTTGAATTTCATAGAGTTTTTTTTTATTCCCTGGGGGAGGGAAAGGTGTGGATTTTCATGTCAGAAGCAACAGATGAGATCTACCCTAGCTGGAGTAAATAGCCATAGGTGATACTTGCAAATCCACAAAAATATGAAGTACACCCCTTTCACCTCTGTTGCACCCTTTTAGTTACACAGGGCTAATACAGAGCATATATCCAATTTAATTGGAGCTAAGTAGATAACTTCTGGTGAGCACTGAATTAACACAGGGTTAATTGGTATTTTCTGCTCAGGAGAGGCCTGTGAACTGCCATCATTCCCTTCCTTGTAGTTGTTATTCAAGGATAGTTTTCCAGCATTTCTGGAATCAGTGAATCTGGGAGGAAAATGCTTCATCTTAGACATTTTACCCCAGTGTCACTACTCAAGTGAAGTTGTCTCAGACTAACAGTCTTTCTCACAGTCATAATAATGTTTTTTGTAAAACCTGCTTCCCCCAGTTCTGTGCCCAAAATACATTTTGCACACTAAAACAGTACAGAAATGGTCAATTGCCAAGTCCTCAGAAAATTTAGGTAAGACAGTGACTGAATATTCATAGCAACCTTCTTATGCATGATATATCCTTTTACAATAAAAATTTTATTATCTCTTTATTTGCCAATATTCCCTAGGAACATGTCAATGGTTCTGGGGAAAAAAAGCCTTTAAAAATCTTGGCACATTTTTCTGTCACCTGAAAATTCAGAGCTACAAAGTCTTTGCCCAGACAGCCTGGCTTGTTGTCTATTGTCACTTGCTTCCATTTATCTAACAAATGCTGCCAGTTCCTGAGGTTTGTCACAGACTCTGCTTCGGTTTCCTTTCACCTTATGATGTGACTTACAGCTCCATCACAGAACTGTTTAGTAAATTGTTCAGCATCATTTCTCACTCCCTTCTCTGCACAGTGTGGGGGGAATGTTTCTGATCCATTTCCTCGCAAGGAACTCTGGAGCAAAGATGTATCTTATTGTCATAAAGAAATGCTTTTGTCAGCCCTGCTGTTGTGTCTGAGCTGGGTGGCTGTTCTCAGCTGTACCCCAGCCTGGGTATTTTCAGCTGCTTTCCACCTGACCTGAGCACATGCACTTATTTCTTTAGTGATGTTCCATCTGTACAAGTGTGAATGCTGGATTTTATTTATTTTGGTTTATTTTTCAGTGGAGCTCTGTTTTGATTTCTTTTTCAGATTCATTCTTCCACATTGTGGACTTCACAGTACCTTGAAAATTCATTTTTTCAAGCCTAGTCTGAAATTTCATTGGAAATATTACATTGTGTGTGTAATTACACCTTCTTCCTCAAGATCACTCAGTAATTTATACCCCATTAGGATGTGTTTCTATGGGAAATCGTGGTTGCTGGGCCAGCTCAATTATGCTGTATGTTACAAAAGAATTTGCTGTCATAAAACTACATAGTAAAGCATTAATAAAAAGCTGAATAATCCAAGGATAGCTGGAAACTTTATATAAATTCATGTAGTAATCCAACAGTATATAGCATCAAGTAAGATACCAAGCTATATTTATATCTTCTCCCCCTTCAATAGAAACAATGTCAAATATTGTATTAAACTGTTTTAATGCTTCAGCCATTTCCCCTTTTTGCAGAGTATCTTCTGTAAGCCCTTTGTGTCCTGCAGCAAGAAAAACTGGTTTATAGCTTTTCTCTAAAAACCCTTCATATTTTCCTGTTAATTTTTAGTGAAACCATGGTATTTTCACTACATCAAACTAGTTGATGAAGCATTGAATAGCAGGCAGAGGAAGCTGAGGGATATTCTGCTAAAGGTGCCAGTAACTTTATGCTTTCATGAGCACTTTCAAAGAGAAAGTTTAAAAGGAGCTGGAGAGCTCTTACAGAATGTGATGTATTTTGGACAGTTGTACTATTCTTATCCCGGCAGTTTGAAAGGATTGAATTTGATTTCTTGGGAGGTGTTTGATAGTGATGTGATTCTTAGTGGTGCTGTTATGCTCTAGTGGTTCACATTCCCAGGAGCTCTGCCTGCTCTGGCTCAGCCAATGGCACAGGAGGAGCCCAAGCACACCTCTGAAACTCCAGAAGGAGGAATGCTGTGATCTCCTTGACTGTGGAAAAAAATGGCAGGCTAAAGTTCACAACTTTTCCAGAAATGGTGGATATATTAGTTTTCATTATATACTTTCTGCAGAGACTCAGAGAATTTGAAAGGAGGAAAAGACTGGCAAATATTACACTGAACTGGAGAACAGTGATAAGAAACTGATAGAAGAACATGACCTCCAGCTGCAATTTGAGGTTGCTTGCAGAAATCCTTGTGAATTCCAATTCCTTTCCTTGAGCTAAAAGAGGTGCATGGATTAGGAAGCATAATTCCTGTAGGCAAAGGAAGAAAACCTTTGCCACCTTGCTGCTGCCTGTGTTTAGCTCTCTCTTTTATTATTCCTTCACCGTTTCCTTTTCTCCAGTGATGCATCACCTCTCCAGGTAATAAATCATAGAATCTTTGTGGATAATGTCTTCATTTTGCATGGCAAACACATGCCATAAATCTAGGTGAAGCTTAATAATTGGTATATGGCATCTTCCTACCTGTGAATGGCAGAGACAGAGGATCCCATTTCCATTCTGCTTTCCCACTGGCAGAGAGACAAAACTTGTTGATCAACTATTTGAGTACTGCAGTGATTGAGATAAATGCTCAAAAAATAGCTAGGGTAAAGAGACACTAATACTGGTCTGTTCACTTCCCAAAATCCTGCTGGAAAACTCCACATGGGTCAAGGTTTCTAGAAGAGGATGGCATGAGAAACACTTGTCTCTATTTTTGTGCCTGCACTGACTCGTGTGTTCTGCTTTCAGAGCTGTTGTTATCTGGCTCTATGTAATGTCATGGAGACCTACAAGTCTTGCTTTAGCTGGGACACTGTTGGACAGAGCAGTCAGGCCTTGTAATGACAGTGTTTCTACTGGGCAAACTGGCCAGGAATGAAAGGACTGTAAAATTCAGAGTGGTCTAAAGTGGAGTGCTCTGACTCTAGAGGTGATCAGACTAGTACAAGTGTTCTCCTGTAAGACATACATATGGCATCTCCATGCTCCTTGTTCCACCCTGCCTGCTTGGGATATTTTTGGCAGCCAGATACTCATTGTAGTATGAAGTGCAGGATGACAGAGCCATAAGCTCCCAAAGTGGAACTGACGGCTCTGAAACAAAGGCAATGGAAATTTTCTCTGAGCAGAAGTGGTACTATCAGGCCCATCAAATGCAAGGCAATTACAGAGTAAGCTAATGAAATCAGATGCCAGCTTTGCTGATATAACTAGTTTCACAACCTCTAGCCTTCCTAGCATAACACAGAATAATTCATAATGAGACTGCACAGAACTCTTTCAATTAGATTTCAGCAGTGGAGCGAGGTATTTTAGCTAGGCAGAAGCATGCAAAGCCTGTAGGCTCAGACACGTGGTACTTGAATAAATAGACTCAGGCTTTTGCTGTCACACAAAGAAAATAAGAACTCAGTGTAAAAGATGTAAAATTCTACCTTTAGAAGACACCCATTCAGCTGAAATCATCTACCTGCACTCCATTCAGAAATCACACTTCTGGATGAGGGCACAGGCTGCCATTTCTCAGAAAAGCTCTCAGTGTGAGGATGCCTTCAAGTGAAGATTGGGAGTGCAGCTGTACCTTTCAGGTGGCACAAATGTCAGAAATGCCTGCAACACATGAAAAAAACCCCAAGGAATGCTGATCAGTAAGCAGGGATTCTGAAGACAAGGCCTTTCATGGATGCTACTGTTATTAAAGGTGATATTTCACCATTTCAGGCGAGTATCTGTGTTACTCACATGAACCCAATTTAGCACAGGCATTTGTGTTTCTGTGTGGGGTTTTTCTTTGGTCTCCACACCATCAGCTGCAGCCTGGCTGCCAAGGGAATTGGAAAGAGCAGCCAAACATTGAAGCACCTCAGTGTTTCTGGGCCAGTGCCTTCAGTGCATGGAAGGTTCTTCCTGTCTTCAAGGTGATTTTCTCTCTTTCCTTGTAGCAGCTACTTCTAGGATCGAGTTTTAGTGACCTTATCTTTCCCATTGCGATGGGAATTCTTTCCCAAGGAAGATGGATTGTTCCCCAGACAAATTCCTTCAGCCAAGCACCTTTGATCCATTGCTTTTATTCTGGGCTTTAGATGCTTTCAAGGAGCAACTCATAGATGAACATACTGGCATGGCTGATGGCTTGCTAATGGATTTGAGGAGAACAAGAAGAGAATAAATTCAGAACTTCATGAAAGGAGAAGATGGTCCATAAATGTCCTTTCCTGACTGCAATGTTATACTGGAGAGGAAGCAGGAATCTTTATTACAATAATTTTATACTATTTTACATAAATTGTCTATATATTGTTTTCTCAAGCGAAGAAGATGGCACTGCCCAGGGACAGGAAAGAATGTGGTCAGTTTTCAAGGAAACTCATGGGACTTTTTGATGTTGGCTTCAAAGAGAGAGAAGAAAATATTTTTACCTTCTAGGTTGGAATAAGGATTGCTTATAGTGAAATAGATTTTATAGCCCATTAAGTTCAGTCAATACAAAATGAACTTAACTGGCCAGATTGATGCCTGGAGAATACACCTTTTGCTAGAGGGAATCTTCATCTGTGTAAAGTTGATGCTGCTAATCCTGTTATGTCTTGCTTTGGATCTGACACCTGTGAAGCTTCTGCTGCTGGAGCTACATTTTCTGAATGACCTGGAACAGGCTGAGACAATAGGGAAGGAAGGAAGAGTCGAAGGAGAATCAATAACATTCTGCTGTGTCCCATCCTCAATTAGCAAAGTAGGCAGACAGGAGCACACTGGCTTGCACTCAGTACCTACAGCTCTGGAGCCATGCGGATCCCACTCACGTGAAGAAGAGGATGAGAAGGCAGATCTATTCTGTAGAAAAGCAAATCCTAACTCTGCTCTGCTCATAAAATAAAATATAATAAAAAAAATCTTGTCTGAAAGCGATCCAGAATATTATATCCTTCACAGGAATGAAGAATTATGAAGTTGAGCTCAAGTGTTGACAGAATAGTTTATCACAAGGTAAACCACTTTCTTTAGATAACCCTCACTTTTTAAATTCCTACGCATGCAATTATTTTCCTTTTGAGGACATTTAAAAATAAACCGTCAAACAGGATCTTTCCAAAATGACAAGATCCTGAACCTAGAAGACAAGATCCTGAACTTGAAATTGTATACAATAATATTTGTCCAATAGATTGAATAAAATTTCCTTCTACCATTGAATTAGGTGGTACAGTATGAAAGTGGCCATGTACATGGATAAAGTCAAAAGCCCCCAAAATGAGTTCTATAATAATTAAAACAGTCGTGTTGCCCCAGAAAATGTGTTGCCTTGCATGTTTAAAGCATCAATCACAGAGTTTGATACCACCCCACAGAGAATTTCCATTTGAATTTCTTTGCTCTGATGTGGGATTACCTTTACAACAATAGTTGTGGCTCTGTGTAAATCCTTCTGTAAAAATAAAGGGGATGTGAGTGGACAGTGTGGAGTCTGGCAGCACAACTTCTCTCATCAGTTAGGATTCAACATTGCACCACGTCCTGTAGTCACCTGGGAGGATCTCTTGCTATGTCTTTGAAATTTGTAGTTCATCATCATCATGCCAAATTACCAAAAATTGACTGTTTTCTCCAACATTAAGGAATTGTGAAAGCTGTTTATTTCTGTATATTTTATGGCACTGTTTTATATCGTTTCTTATTAAATCACAAACAGAAGTCCTAGAATTCATAGTGTTTTGATTATGAACTCAGTTAAGAAGTTGACATTTACTTATGAGACAACCATGGGGGACAAAGAAATCATCCAAAGTGCTTCAAGCAGCCCCTGAGCACCAGTTTTCAAAGCCCGAGGGAAGTTGTGTAGTTTGCTCTGCTAAAAGCAGAAGCCAGATTTGATAACTGGCCGGACTCTGAACTGCACACAGGGTGTACCAAAGATGTGTCACTTCCAAGTGCTTTGTTTGGGAGAGAAGTTCTACTTTTGCACAAGTGTGAAGGCAGAACTCCCAGACAGTCAGTTTCCCAAAAATAGAAGGGGACTATGGAATCCCCATCCCTGGAAGTGTCCAAGGCCAAGTTGGATGAAGCTCTGAGCAACCTGGTCTTGTGGAAGGTGTCCCTGCCCATGGCAGGGGGTTGGAACAAGATGATCTTTAAAGTCCCTTCCAACCCAAACATTCTGTAATTCTATGATTATTTCCATTGACTGTAACTCAGACATTTACATTCCTTTTTTTTTTTTTATTGCCTTCCTTTCTGAGGAATTGATTTCAATAAGGGAAACAGTACCAAGAGAAGATTGGCTGTATTGAATTCACATTGAACTGATTAAAAAACATGAAAGTTATTAGAAAAATAAACATATTTCCTTTTCCATTATGCAATATTTCATCAACAAATTTATTAGTTTAATATAATGTCTAAGTAAATATGACAGGGAGTATTATTTAGCATCATTGGAGAATAATTTTGGAAGCTGGAGAACATGTTTTTATATGTGCAATACAGTTTACAATTAAATATACTTTTTTATGAAAGAGATCATATAGTTTTTCACCTTATGAAAAAATGAATAGTGTGAGAATAGTCTAAATCTTCATAAAGAAGCCTAATTTTGTTAAGATTTTTCTAGATTATTGTAATATTGTAACTACTGAAGAAAATTTATGTAAGGGTTGTTTGGATAATTATCAACTGACAATCTGAACAGACAGCTACCAATCACCATTTCCAGTGTGCAAAGCTGGGCTTCTTGCACTGGAAAAGAGGTGCTGCAGCTGAGAAGAGAAGGTTTTTCTTACTTACAGAGTAAGAAAACTAATAAAAATAATTAGGTGCAGTACACATTTCCAAGTGAAGGCCTAGTTGGTTTTAGGATCAGCAGCTCCTGTCTGTGAGCAGGAGAAGCTGTGCCTCAGCAGTGCAGTCAGCATTACCTTCTGGAGGAGCTGATGGGAGGTAAAATAGAGGCCCTGACTACCTATGAATACTAGAGGGTTTGGGGCCATGTTTTGTAGAATAAAGGATGAGTCTGGATCGAATTCCCTTCAACATTTTGTGGTCATGTTAATTCTTTCCCTTCACTTCCCTTTGCAGATGTAGACTGTTGCAATCTACTGTTAAGCACCTGCTGTGGCTCCTGTTCTAAGACAGGGAAAGATTCCCTTTAAATAAAAGAGATCTTTTGCCTGCCTCTTCCAGCTGTTACGAGATTTAATTACTTTATGCTTCTATAGCAGATTGAAGTCCTTCAAGTAAAGGTAGTATAGGGTTGTATTCCCTGCTTCATTCCATTACTGGCCAAGCAGATTACTTGGAACTGCAATCTGGCACTCAGAGTGGCACAACCTTCTGCAAACTCCTTCATATGTGTGGTTTCCACAGGGCTGATCTTCTTCTTTCTCCTTTAGAATTTCTTAAGGGAGAAAAGGAGAAGGTGGGTCAAAGAGACGTTGAAAGAGAATTTCAATACATGAAATCTTTCCATTGTGCTGATCAATGATGGTATAATGTTTTCATGGGCACTAACCCAGGAAGAGATGATGGGTTTGCACAAATAAAAGTATAATACAGTTTGATATGGAAAATAGACGTGCAGAGGGTCCTGGTGTTCTATGTGGCTTTGCTATTTGGTTTTTTTTATATTCCAGCAAGCCATTTAATAAAATTCTTAAGCACACCATAATCTATTTATGCTGAACTAAATTAAAAATTTCCTGTCAAAACCTTTATTTCTGATGTTTCATTGTTATTTATTTATTTGTTGAAAATTATTGCTCTTTATGGGAAATATTATTTTAATGGAATTAAAAAATGCACATCCAAATGTGAAGTCAGTTGAAATATGACCTTTTGAACCCAAGAGATTTACATTTTTTATTAATTTTTTTTTTAATTGTTCTGAAACTTCAGGTCACACTGATGTAGTTTTTAAGCAACACCACTATGAAGACTGAACAGACTGGCTTCCTAATTCTCCTTTAGATTACAAATCAAAAGACCCTTTTATACCATTCTTGTCCCACTGCCACTACTTAGGGTTGGATCAGGAATGTGACCTACTGTTTCATCGATCAGATTTGTTCCTTGACTTTCCATAAATTTTCCATTGTTGAGGCTGTTATTGGTTATTAGCTGATACAATTAGACTGGGCAGATGAGACTTTGCTGGTGAAGAAAGCGTAAAGAATTGAAATGACAGGGTTGCACCAGCAGTGTGGTGGCTGTGCCGGCTCCAGCTCCACTGTATGTTGTGCTGTAATATTAGAGATGCTTTGTTGTGATGCAGTGAAATTAGATCAGTGCCCATGGGCCCCACACAGAGCTGTGAAACAACACAGTGTTTCCATGTCTCTGCACCAAGGATATGCACTGACTGTACAGCGACTGAACTGTTACAAGTGTTACACCAGAGGAAAACATCACCCCTGCAAAGGGCATTGACAAAAATTCGGGCAATATTCTGCAAACAGGGCTGTGTTCTTACTGCTTTTTGTAGTCTGGATTATTCAGGGTCTAGCACAGGGTTTAAAGCCGTGAGCTCATAAACAAACTGTGCTTCAAGTGTCTGTGCCTCAAGCAGGTGGTGTGATTCTTGGGGCTGTTCTGTGCAGGGCCAGGAGTTGGACTTTGGTGATCCTTGTGGGTCCCTTCCAACTCAGGATGTTCTGTGATTCTATGACTCTATAACACAGAACCAAGGTCTGCACATGCCTGGGTGCAGAGTGGGGTCCTCAACCTGTGTGAATGACAGGCAGAAGCCCCAGTCATTTCCAGGGATCTCAGAGCAGTTCCTGGGCTGTGCAGCTGAGCACAGCACTGCCCTGCTGGGGCTGATCCTCTGAGCTGGAGCACAAAGACTTCACTGAAGAGAGTTCTTAGGTGCTGCTGCCTGGGCATCTTGCTTCTAAGTCATGCCTGGGTTTAATAGCTGGGGCCTTCAGTTAAAATGTGCTTTGTCAGTGGTAGGAAAACATGCCTTTGGTTATGTTTTTCCTGGAGACTTTCCCAAGACAGCATACTGCCTTTCTCTTCAGGCTGGAGGGCAAGACACTTTGCTGGCATAAGCCTGACCATTTTCTCTGATACAGAAGGACCTTTCAGTGATTTGGACCAGCCTAACAAATGATGTATAACTTAAACATCAATGTTTGTTTTATATATATATGCACACATTAGCAATTCAGATCCAAATATTCACTCACTTAAATGCTTGAAATCATCAGTCTCACATTTATTTTGTATCTTCTTTGTACTGTTGTCCTTCAGGAGTGCTAGTGCCTGCATGTGATCCTCCCAACTTAAAAATTCATATAGTCAGTTAAACAATAGGCTTGGAACATCCATTATCATCAGAAGATAAATAAGGTCTGTAAAAATGGCTTTTCTTACACAGTGTAAGTATTTTTTCCCTCATTACAACTGAATGCTGAAGTTTGCTGGTTCACAGCAGTTTCTGCTCATCAGAGGTGCTGAGACACAAAAGGGACTCGTCTGCAGTGACATGGGAAATGAGAAAACTGTCTGAGGAAAATCAGGCTAATTTAACCTCTTTCCTAATTTGTTCTAAAGCCAAAGAGTTAATTAGTGCAGTTAAGTTTCTGGTTGGTGAGAAGAACACTTTCTCTGCATAGACAAATGACAGTGTATACCACAGATTTAATTAAAGAGAACAGAGATAAGTACTGCATTGTATGCTAAAGTAGTGTTTACTATAGCAACTGATTACTCTGCAGACAGCTTGTTATTTTCCTTTCCAATTTAAAGTGAAGATAAGAAATATAGAAGGATGATAAATATTTGATCTGAATTGTACCTTTTAGGGAGGTGACTGAAAGACATTGAGAGCACTTATATAAGAAATAAAGCTACAAAATCCTTGGGCAATATAAATTGGCATATTTCGATTAATGAGTGTTGTTTTATACCAGTTGAGAAGCTAATTCCCAAGAGAGCTCGTAGAAACTTTTGTATCTTCAAACCTTTCTATGAAAAGCTGGACTTTTAAAATCAGTGTGCAATGGCTTGATAAATCATCATCCATTTCTTCTGAGAAAGTGAGAGAGAAGTGATTGGAAGCAGTGCTGTTGTTCTCTGGAAAGAGCTGTGTGACATAACAAAGAGATGGTATCCTAATGCTGGTCAGTCCTTGTCCTGTCAGAGCCTCCACCTTCATCACTTCTTCAGTTGCTGTACAATGTTCCCTCCTCTGCTTCAGTCTGGTGGTTACACATGGTGTAAGCAAGAGGGCTTTCTGCTGGGGCAGTAGATTGAGGAACAGTTCTATTCCAGATCCTTTATATTACTTTGGCAAGCTACAGTGCTACTGTGTGCCTCAATTCCTTCATCAAGATACTCCTTCTAAGCTTGCCTTTCTCATTCCACTACCCTTTCCTTTATGAAAGGCAGGATTGCTCTAGGTGAGAAGTGGTCTGGTGTTTAAATTCAATTTATTTGCGCTAGAGCATTGCCTCTGTCATGGACTGCTTGTGTTTCACTGCATGACAGGGTTATTCTGTCCAGGTTAGACCAGACTAAATGTAAAACAGGGACAACAAAACTTAGTTATTACCAAATCAGCTGGGAACAGTCAGGGCCACAGCTTTGCAGCTCCACAGGACGGAGGTGGTGGTGGCAAACAGCTTGTGTCTTAAAGTTAGCAATGGGAAAGTAGCCCCCTTACCCTGGTGGAGCAGGAATTCCAGGATCATGCAGGGAACATGAGGTTCAAGTAGTGCAGGAGGCAGAGAGCTGTGAGTGCTGCTGGCTCTGTGCACTCCTCTCAGAGCACACACCAAGCACTCCCTGGAATCCAGGCTGCTCCAAGCATTCCGCTCACATTCCCAACACAGGAGAGCAAAGCCAGACTTTGCACATGTCAAATTTATACAAGAATAAAACTGGAGTATGTGAGCTTCATTATTCCTTTATTACTATTACTATTATTGTTATTATTAATGTGTGTGTATTGCCTGTAATTGTGGCATGAGCTAATTTTAATTAATTCCAGATAGCCTTTTTAACTGGAAAGTTTAGGTTGTATTTCATTAATGCAATAGGCTCTGACTTTCCAAGTTTCCTCAAAATGAAACAATTTTCTTTTCAAGTGTACATCACTGAAGTCAGAGAGACATAATATTCCCAACTGTATAGAACAGCCTGTGGCAACTAGGTTAGAGCTGTCAGTTTTACACATGGGGTGCCTGACAAACATATTATACATACAATTCAAGGCTGACCTTATACTGCACCTGAATTTAAATCTGTGTGCTTCACGATGCTTTATATCCTAAATAGGCTGTTAACACCCTCTTGCAGCCCTTCCCTTTTATAATGGGCTATAACTGCAAACTCTATATTGTCATGAGAGGCAGCCAGAAGGTAACACCATAAAATTAGTTAATTTTAACATAAAGATGCCAAATCACTGCTGCACACATTTGAAAAATACATTTTCTTTTAAGTAGTTGAGTGCCTGCAGATAGGAAAACTGTTCCATAAAAATTCACCATGTTTCCCAGTGTTTTAAAATGTCCAGTGTCTCTGAGCTTCTGCAGTCCTGTGAGGACACTTGGTGGTCAATAGGCTGTGAGTGGTCACTGTGAGGCAATAATGTGGAGCACACTTTGCTAAGCTGTCTCAGCTGAAGTAACAGGGATTTTACTCAAACCTCTTACTCCATCTGTGAGATAATCATCTCCACACTAGAAATTCCTGGTTCTTCTAGCTTGGAGATGCTGAGATATCAGCCAGTGCTTTCAAAGGTTACAGCATAGACATTTACCAAGGATGAAATCCAGTGCCAAAGTCCTGATGACTTCAGCAGGGTGGAATTTCTGCTGTAACTCTAATGAGAGCCCAGCCATGCATGACCCACAGAGCAAAGCAGTGTGCTTCCTCTGCTTTTGTGGGAAGTAATAATTTGCTCCTGGGGAAGTAATAATTTGCTTCCTCTCTTATTATGACTGGAAGATTTTCAAAGTCTTTGCAAGAGGTGGTGTAACTGCAGCTAGTGCAGGAGGAGGGGGTAGCTGGGAAGGGGGTGGATTCTGAGCAATTTACTACAGCTCAGTGTAAACTTCTGTAGGGTTTGTAGGAGGAGAGATGTTGGAGCTGATGCTTTGCCACTGCTCTACACTAGACAATCAGGCATCTCTTTTGACTCTCTCTACCCCTGTCCCCCCTTAAGCCTCAACCCCAGGCAGCAAGTTTTCAAAGATCAAGTGTGGATTCAACCTGTTTCCAAAATGGATTCTGCCCACCTATGGTCAGAGGGAAGCTGTTTGGAGTAGGTTTAGGATGTTTGTGTCATAGAATTTATTCACTGCCTGTCCTGATTTCACTGGCACACGTGCAGGTCATTGTGTCACCTGGGGAGAACAGGGGCAGGACTGCAAAGTGCTTCAGGCTCCAAGTGTTGTTATGCAGCTTAAAACTACTGTAGTACCAGCACATCAGTCCTGCTGCCTAGTAAACAGGACTGTGGAAGGAATCATGGAATCAAAGGGAATCATCTGCCTACTCAGTCCCTATGGTCTCTCTCTCTGTGGAGGTCTGGTCCAGTGCTGTGACACTGTGCACTCACTGGCTGTGTCTGTGCTCAAAATGCAAACACATTCTGGGCTGACTTAACAGCAGCATCTCTTAGCTTTCATGTGCTTGTTGCTGCAGAGCTGTGCTGTTTGCATGTCAAATCACCCCCTCATTTCTGCTCAGAACAAAAAAGATGTAACTCATTCAGCCAAGCCAAGCTCAGGAGAGGTCCAGAGCAAGGAGTCTGATTTCAGACTGACCCAAGCAGTTTGAAGGCTGAGATCAGGATCTCAGTCTGGCCTCTGCAAATCAGGCTGGGATCTTTGGCTTGTTTCCAGTCCTCAACAGGAGCTGGCTGGGTCTGGCTCCTTTCCCTGTCTCTGTGAGCTCCTACCATGCCTGGCACCTTGAGCAACAATGGAAAAGAGACTGCTTTTCTTGGCATAAACAAATCCTTTCGGAAATGTTTTCAGGCATTTAAAAGAACTTTTTGGAAGTATCCCATTTCAATCTGTAGATTCCCTTTGTTATTCTTCTCCATGCCCCTGTCAAGTACTAATAGGTACTATTTCCTTTTAAATTCTTTTGGAAGTAAAATCCTTAGGATTACTGGTTTTGTTTCCTTTGATTTGGATAGTTGCCACTTATCAGACTTTAGAAATCTGGCTGCTGTACTGGCTGGACTAGGGCACGGTATAGCATGTATATTGTTGTAGTTAATGAAATTATTTCACATTAGTGGTGCTTTACTAACAAACAGTAGTAATTAATTGATTGGATTAGTTTCTGTAATTGATTGCCAACTTTCTTAACAGGCTTGTGCTCAGAAACTTTTAAACATAAGACGACTCCTCTCCTTCCTCTGGAGACGTCTGCCTTGTATGCATTATGAAATGGGCACAGCCTATTAAGGTATTCTTCCCTGCTCGGATATGACAGATATTCTCAAAGGAACTAAACTCATTTCTGCACAATGTGCTAGAGACCTGAAGAAGTAAACTATAATTTATCTTCCCTGAATAGCTTTTCTTAGTTCAATGCCTAAGCTGGATCACCTTCCCATGAACTTT